CCCACCTCCCCCCACTCACCCGACTGCTTTTTTCGGGGAAGTGAAGGGGAAATAAAGGGCAAATTCAAAGGCCTCTATGAGCTCATACACCTCATTAGTGTGAGGCGCTCCAAGCACTCGGAGAAGCTGCCCCACCGTGAAGGACCCTAGATAAATACCAGCTTTAGTTGTTAATCGCCGGTCAGCCTTTCAACCTTTCTGCCACCCTAGTCCATCTGGAGTCCCTCTGACTTGTTCCCTTCCTCCCTCCCTCACTTTGCCCTCGCTTTTGGTCATCTTTTCCACCCCCACCCCAACACTCCCAACGTGCAGTCCCGTAGCTCAGTGGGTAGAGCACAGCTCAGTTCTGATGAAGGGTCGTGGACTCGAAACGTTGACTCACTTTCCTTTTTCCATAGATGCGGCCGACCTGCTGAGTGTCCCCAGCGACTTCTATTTTTGTTTTCACTAAACAGTATGTTCTGTGAAATGCTTTGAGATGTCACGAAGAAGTGATAAGGCGCTATATCAAATGCAATGATTATTATTATTAACTTGGATACCAGGACTCTTAAGTGCCTTGGAACACCCTCCCATGCTATATAAATGTACATTTGTACTGTATTGTTAAACCAATGGGTTCACATTCTTTTTTAACTGCTTGTTCCCTTTGCTCCACTGCCAGTGACTCAGCTTTGAGCCACCGTTCCACGCCCCTGGTCTCTGAACCTCATTCTAAAGCCACTTTGCTCTCAGCCTTCTTGATAATAACCCTTGGATTTGATATAGCTGTGATAAGGCGCTATATCAAATGCAAGTATTATTATTATAGTGCCTAATTACATTGTTGTCTCAAAGAGCTTCACAGAATATATTATAGAGTGAATTGGCTGAGTATTTTGTGGGTGAAACGCGGCAGCGTCCCACAAACAGTCGTGGATTGAGTGACAACATTTTTGGGTGGGGGGAGGGATTATAAACCCCGGAAAGCAATCCATCAATCGACTAACAACCGGGTTCCTACTTACTGCAAGGTAAACAGAGGCGTGTGGAGTAAGGAAACTTGTTAATTGTCAATTGATCAATTGTCCGACGTGTTTCTCTCACAAACTATACAGTCAATTCACTGTACGTACATTCTGTAAAATGCTTTGAGACGTCTCAACGACGTGATAAGACTCCACATCAAATGGAAGAATTATTATTATTAATCTGGAGGTTTGTCGGCCAGGACACGGAGAGAAACTCCCTGCTCTATTCTGATAGTGTGTCGGGAATCTGACCAACAGCAGCACCGCAACTGAACAGGCGCTTGAAGTGAACAACAGCAGTTCAAAAAAATTTCCCGCAAATAAACAAGTTTGCAACTTCACAGCTCTTATCCATATTGGACCCGTGAAGTATTTGTTGGTTGTTTAGTTGGCTGAGGAAAGCTTTAATTGCTGCCCATTTCCAGTTTTTCAGTCAGCTTTTAAACACACGGCGATTAATAATTAAAATCATAGAATTTATATAGTACAAAAGGAGGGCACTCAGCCCATCGTGTCTGTGCCGGCTTTTTGAAAAGAGCTATCCAAAACAACCGCATTCCCCCCGCTCTCTCCCCATAGCCCTGCAAATTTGTCCTCCCCAAATAATTATCTACTTCTCTCTTAAAAGTTGTTATTGAATCAGCTTCCCCCAGCCTTTCAGGCGATGCATTCCAAATCTCAACAACTCACTGTGTGAAAACATTTCTCCTCCCCTCCCCTCTGTTTCTTTTAACAACTGTTTTAAATCCTCGGGTTACCGACCCACCCGCAGTGGGAATAGTTTCTCCTTGTTCATCCTATCGAATCCCCTCATCATTTTGAAAACTTCTATTAAATCTTCTCTGCTCCAAGGAGAATAATCCCAGCTTCTCTCGCCTCTCCTGATCACTGAAGTCCCTCATTCCTGTTACCATTCTGGTCAATCTTCTTTGCACCCTCTCCAATGCCTTGACATCTTTCCTAAAGTGTGGGGCCCAGAACTGAACACTGTCTCTCGCTGAGGCCTAACCAGTGTTTTCTAAAGGTTCATCATAACTTCCTGACTTTTGTATTCTATGCCCCATTTAGTATCCCGTGTGCTTTATTAACAGCTATATCTACCTGTCTGGCCACCTTCAAAAATTTACTTATATGAACCCCAGGTCTCTCTGTTCCTTCACCCCATTTAAGATTGTACCATCAGCTTATATTACCTCTCCTCATTCTTCCTCCCAAAATTCATCACTTCACATTTCTCCACATTAAACTTCACCTGCCATTTTACCAGTCTGTCTATGTCCATTTGCAGTCTGCTGCTATCCTCCTCACTGTTTACTACTTTTCCTCGCTTAGTATCATCTGCAAACTTGAAAATTGTACTCCCTGTACCCAAGCCCAGGTCATTTATATAGATCAAAAACAGAAGTGGTCCCAATACTACAATTAATTGTAATGAAGCGCATTTTAATATCCCGTGTTCCCTCTGCTGATTCCTGATCTGTGCATTGTGCTTTGGGATTATTATTACAGGGGTGAGTGTGGGAAGGGGGAGAAAGAGGCTTGTAAGCTTTCTACAGTACCAAGGTTGTATTCCTCATTCCTGTCAAACAATTAATAAATGAGACCAAAGTTACTGTGGTCAAAACTAAGTATTCCTAAACACATTCCTCTCCTTATTTAAGGAATGTTTGTGGAAATCTCAGCCATATTGCTGCATGTCTCAGGCAAGGGACAGAAACACCAAGGTTTCATTCATTCAATTATAGAATTGAGGTTTTTAAAATAAAGGGATTTGATAGGGTAGATACAGAGAAGCTATTTCCTCTGGTGGGAAATCCAGAACAGGGAGGCATAGTCTTAAAATTAGAGCCAGGCCATTTAGGAGTGAAATCAGGAGGCAGTTTTTTACTAAAAGGTTAGTAGAAATCTGGAACTCTCTCCCACAAAAGACTGTGGATGCTGGATCCATTCACATTGTCTAGACTGAGATGGATAGATATTTGTTAGGTCAAGGTATCAAGGGATACGGGGAAAGGCCAGGTAATTGGAGTTGAGGTACAGATCACCATGATCTTATAGAATGCCGGAACAGCCTGAATGTCCTACTCATGTTCCTATGTTCCTTTCTATGGCCCATCGTGTCTCTGCTGGCTCTTTCACAGAGCAATCCTCCTAGTGATGTATGGGACTGAAATGCAGAGGACGAACACGCAGTAAACCCACACAGAAGCTCCTCTTTTCCACCTCAAGCCCCTAATGGCAGGAAGCAAAAATGCCTCAATCTAACAGCTTCCTGCCATTTCCTGATAATTGGGAGCAGTTTTGATGAAACAAAGCTAGCACTGACCCCCCGAACGAGAGCAGTGGTGACAAACGCAAGTCCTATCACCTCGCGACACACCATGCCCAGGGTTTAGCTGTACAGTACCATCCCTCTGGTCCAGCCAAAGAATTAGCCAACACTAAACGCAGGTGCCAAACCTAATCAACACTCGGCAGAGAATGCCACAAGAGGTAAGCCACCTCTGTCTACCTCAATGTAACTTTAGACGTGGCTGCAATTTTGCGTAGGTCAGTTTGTTTAAAGCTTTCAACTCTGATATTGCCTGAAACAGTCAATGCCACAAAGCTGCAATTCATTAAGGGTAGCGGAGAGGGTGGGCCAAACAAAGAGTCCTCAGTGTCCATTTTTAGTGCTCCGCAATGGCCAGGAGCCCAGCTCTGAAGCACTAAGCTCATCTCTCACATAGATCCCAACCCTGGCTCATCGGCAGGACCTGGGAGGACAGACCAGTCACTGGGGACAGGGAATCCTCCCACTCAGCTCCTGTTAACCCTGCTTGTGGTTCTAGCTGGATAAGTAGTGAGAAAGCTTGCCAGACAATGATCTCAATAGTAAGCGATGCGATTTTAGCTGGCTAGACTCCAGCAGTTACCCCAACACACACTCTGGAGTCCCCAAGCCTTGGCTCTTGCCAACCTGTGCCTAATACTTTTTGGAATCAGGTAAACAGGATGGGTCCCTCCATGGAGAGAGAGCTTTCCATCAATCTATCTCTGGGATTTCCATGTGTAGATGGGATGCATAATTCTCAGCTTGGTTTAGATATTCTTAAGCAACGGTGATGGGTTTCCGCATGTGTCAGACACCTGGCTGACCCTCCCCCCAAAACAAATCTCATATAGAATGGAGATAAATAACCATAAAAATGCAATGCTGCAGTGTTATTTGACAGCTTGGCTGAACAACAACAACTTGCTCCCTTCACGCTGGACAGCATCTTGGAGCCAAGTTGGTAACAATCACTTCTGGGAATCGAGAAGGGTAAATGGTTCAAAATCAACTTTAAACTATGTGTCAAGATCTGAGCTCACAGTCCAAACTGACACTTAATCCATGCACAGTGCCAGCCCTCAGTCGAGAAGTTAAACCAAGGTCCTATCTGCCTGTTCAGGTGGGCATTAAAGACCCGGAGATCTGAGACTTGGAAAGAGAAGTTGCTCCACTGGTACGTTGCTCAAATGCCTGTTGATTGTGTGCAATAATAATCCTTGTATTTGGAATCATGTTGTTGAGACATCTCAAAGCGCTTCACAGAAAGTATTACTAAGTACGATCCCAAAGAGTGGGTGTCAGCAGCTACTGGACTGCGGTGGGAGTCACAAACCCTGCGCTGAGCTTACTGGTCACAGTCAGGAATGCAGGTGAAGCCATTGGTCTCGCTGATTGGTCTCAATTCGGTGAAGTTTTGCTGCAGCCTTTACTGTGGTTGTACCCGGCCAAGCAGTGGGAAACCTTGTCAGACAGCGCTCTCCATGGCAAGTTGTGTGGTTTTAGCTGGCCAGACTCCAGCACTGCCAACGCATGCTCCGATTTGCTCAAGCCTTGGCTCTTGCCAACCTGCGCCTAATACTATGCGGAATTGGGGAAGCAGGGTGTGCCCTTCCAGGAAGAGAGTGGCGCATTCCCTTCCAGACACAGGGAGGGAGGGAGGACCTTGCCACACCTACCGGAGTTATTTACAGGGTAACGTTTCCTCAGCTTCTCCGTCAGCTTGGAGACTTTGCTTCTGATAGGTTCGTTCTTGTTGAAAAAGCCGTTGTCCTGTGCGATGAGCTCATAATCCACACTGCACTGTGGGCCGTCGTCATCCTCCTTCGCCAGGGAAAAAAACACAAAGGCAAAGCAGTCAACAAGCTGCCCGCACAACCAGTTTACTTGCCCCATCTCTTTCCTTCCCACCCCCGCCCACCACCACGTATTTGGAGAGTCCTGTAGCGCAAGCGAGAGGACCCAGGTTTGATTCCCGAGCGGTCTGAAACCTTAGGCACAACAACTTGCACTTGTATAGTGCCCTCCATGCAGGGTAGCGTCTTAGAGCGCTTAACAGTGGCGGGCCTGACTCGGAGTTATGGGGGGGGCGGGGGCGGAGGGGAGTGGCTGTAAGCACGGTCGAAGAAGAGGGTTTTCAGGCAGGACTTGAAAAAAGGGAGAGGGGGCACAGCGGAGAGAATGAGGGAGAGTAGATGTTCTAGAGTTTTGAGGCCCTATACAAATGTAATTTTCTTGTTATTGTTGCGTATCGTGTCACACTACCAAAGGGCCAGTAGCATCACCTCTGGGCTTCTCTGAGCTACAGTATGGAGATACCCCCAATACAAACCAAATGGGTCAGCATAACTGGATCTGACTGGATGGCTGGAGGTTGTTGTAGGGCAATGCATACAGTGATTCCAGGTCAGAATTTTCTCTGATCAGCCTGTGCTGAAATCAATCTCAAACTCCAGAGGAGGAAAAGACCTTTTGATCCACTAGCACCAAGATTAACCTGTTCCCAGAGACCATCCTGAAAACCTGCTGCTGGTCAGTATCTGAGATGGTGAAGGATCAGAAAACATGTCTTCACCGAGAGGAGTGTGAGAATGTGCAGAGCACGGCCTCAGAAATGATGAACATCAATAACTAGTGTTTATCCTCCTTCTGGGGGGAGGTAATCGTGGTCTCCTTGGAGCTGAACTGGCTCCAAGGGTGATATACCTGCCAACGGAATGCTTTAATCGAGCCAGCTCTCTGTGACAGTCTCTAGTCTGGTTACTGAGCCAGACAAATCTACAGTATCCCAGGGCACTCACTGCTGATGACAGCACAGCTCAACCTGGTTCATTGGCAGGATCCGGAAGGGCAGACCAGTCAATGGGGGCAGGGAATCCTCCCACTCAGCTCCTGTTAACCTTGCAAGTCAAAACCCTAACGATAGGGCAGTCCTAGTTGGACAAGCAGTGGGAAAGCTTGCCAAACAACAGAAATGGGTAGTCACTCATACAGATGTTGGTGTGCAGTAGTCACATACTAGATCATGGATTAACTGGACTATTTCTGTGCTGTATCACTCTATGTATCTCGCACACATAGAAATGTGTTTCCAACCAACACATCATTCTTTAGAAATATAACCAAATGGAATTATTAGAACTTGATGTAAAATAGTTTCCCAAGTCAGAGGAAATTCAAGCAATACGAAAATTATTAACCAGCAAGGCTACAGACCACCCAATGCTCTCTCGGCATTGAGTTGCATACAGACCTGCTCTCCGTTCTACATTACTGTCATCGTGGAACATTGTGAAATATTGACTGGCATTGGGAGGATACACAGTTCGGCAGCCAAATTGGAACATGATTTGGGCAAATCGATCCCAAAACCAATGAGTAGAAACGTGGGAACTGATCGCTTTCCGGGAGTAATAATCCCTCAGATTAAAAAAAAGGTCTCTCAATCCACTGCTGTGCTAAATTGGATGCTGCGTTTCGCCCACAAAATATACAGTCCATCCACTTTACAGTATATTCTGTGAAGCGCTTTGAGACGTCTCAATGACAAGGCGCTATATCAAATGCAAGGATTATTATTTATTTTATAGACATCCATGCCCAGCAGCTCAGAAGAGGACAAGTGAACAGACGGGTTAGATTTAGCTCCTACTGAGGGAGCGTTCCATGGAGGTTATTTTGCAGCTGCCTTTGGGAGCTGTTCATTGGCTGAGTGTGAGACAGGCACCTGCTCCATTTCCACCTGACTTTTGGGTGAATTGCTGGGAGTTTAGTTTGTGGTACTTGGCCATTTTGGGTCGCTCAGTGTTGGCATTCCGAGACCGGGTATAGCATGATTGTATCCAAAGTATCTCTGCTTTGTCCCTGTGCTATGAACCAAAAGCAACCTCAGAAGACCTCTCTTTGATACCAAAAGTATAATTTCCATTCCCCAAACTAGACCAGGTCAGACATTCATGGCTCCTTTTGTGGGAAATCACCAATTTAGTGATGACTTTGTGGTGAATTAAGGGCAGTTTCAACCTGTGAGCCCACAAAACTGCTTTGAAACCCATTTCATATGGTACCCTAACCCCCATTAGACCATTTTGTATGATACCCTAACCTACGTCTTGTCCCATCTTTCCCCATCTTCAGATTGCACCTGAACACCTTTCTCTTTGACAGGGTTTACGGTCACCTCCCCCCTCCCCCTGGATTAACTTTGTGCTCCGCCACTGTCAAGTGCTCTGAGACGCTACCTTGCATGAGGGCTGCTATGTAAATGCAAGTTGTTATTTAGACCAATCTCAAACCTGCCCTTCGTGGCCTAAGTCTTGGAATGTGTGGTTGCCAATCAACTTTGCTCACACCTCTCCCACCACTCCCTATTTGAAGCCCTCCAGTCCGATATTTAACCTGCCCACATCATAGAGACAGCGCCTATCAAAGTAATAAATTACGATTCTCTGTGTGTGACCAGAACTCCCGCTGCATCCTCGACCTCTCCGTTATATTCGACACAGTCAATCACACCATCCTCTTCCACCGCCTCGCTTCCCTCTTTTATCGTCTAGCATTTCTTATGTTCTTATGGGATATAGACATAGGGAGTTTGGACATATGTGCATGCGATCGCCAGGAAGGTGGAAGGCGAACTAAATGGACCTTCGTCTTTTTCGTCTTGCATTTCTGAAGTTCTGTTCATTCACCTTCGTGGGACTGCATTTGCATGTTTTGAGTCCTACTTGACTAACCGCCAACAATTTATCTCAGGAAACGGTTTCTCCTCCCACCCCCACCTGGTCACCTGTGGTGTACCCCTTGGCCCCCTGCTTTTCATCATTTACACACTCCCTCTCGGCGATATCATCCGCAAACAAGGGGTCAACTTCCACATGGAGGCGGATGACACTCGAATCTACTTCTCCTCCAGCTGCGTCTCCCAGTCGGCTGACGACCTGTCAGTTTGTCTGACGGACGTCAAGGCCTGGATAAACGCAAATTTCCTGCAGCTGAACATCAGCAAGACAAAAGCAATAGTCTTTGATTCTCGTCAACATCTTCTTTCATGTAGGTCAAACTCCTTAACCTCCCCGTGCTCTCACTCAGAAGGCATCAGGTTCGATCCACGGCTTTCCTTTCTCCCCCACATCCGTTCTCCGACCAGGACCGCCTTTTTCCACCTCTGCCATATTGTCCGCCTCCATTCGTACTTCACACCCACAGCAGCCGAAATCCTCATCCGCGCCTTTGTTACTTCCCGCTGGACTATTCAAATGCCCTCCACGCTGGCCTCTCCAGTTCCACCATACTTAAAATACAATAAATTCAGAACTCCGCCACCTGGATACTAATCCGCACAAAACTCCGTACCCCTTCACACCAGTCCTTGCCAGGTTCCACCGGCTCCAAATTTCCAAACGGATCGACTTCAAGATCCTCTCTCATCTTCAAATCTCTTCATGCGCTCGCAACTCCCTACCTATCCGACCTGCTGGCCCCCCACTCCATCACCTGCTGCCTCTGCTCGGCCAGCTCCGGCCTCCTGTTCGTTCCTCGCCCCCTCCGCTCCACCATTGCCGGCTGTGTTTTCAGTCACTTCGTCCCAAAACTCTTGAACTCTGTCCCCAATCCCTCAACCTTGCCCCCTCCTTCCCCACTATAAAATCCCGCCTAAAGACCTTCCATTTTGATCGTGCTTATGGTCACCTCCCCGCTCCCTGACCCGCTGGCTCGAGGTCAGACTCCACCACTGTTAAGTGCTCCAGGATGCTACCCAGATGAAGGACGCTATATAAATGCAAGTTGTTGTTGTACTGCATACAAACCCTGATCCCCCTTTCTCTTCCCAGCCCGCTCACTGAAACACACGATGGTCACTTGTGTAACCATTGACTTGGCAGCCTGCCCCCACAGCCCTTCAACTCCAACCAATATTTGTACAATATCAGATGTTTTGAAGAACAAAAATGATAAACCATCACTGTGTACAAGTACTTACAGAAGGGGAAATTTGATATCGACCCTTTGAATTCAAGTCCAAGGGGCTAGCTCTCTTTGGGTGGGCTTGGTGTAAAGCGGTGCTATCCTGTAATTTTAAACTTAAAAACTATTCCCATGGCCTCCAAAACAAAATATATGTTCATGTGAATAACGCACATTCCAGGCATGTGCCTTGGTTAAGTGTTTACATATGCCTGTCAAATACATTAACATTAGCATTGCTTCTGCTAACCATTTCATTGTAATAACTATGCAAGTCTTTTTGTTGCTCTAGGATGCATTGGGAACTCTTGGGGGGAGTGGGGGAAGAGGATAGAGAGGAAGGGGGAGAGTGAATAAACACTGGTGGGGCGGTGGGGGGAGGAAGAGAGGAAGGGGGAGCGGGAGAGTGAATAAACACTGGTTAGAGGATTTATCCCCCCACCCGCACCCCATCTCATTTTGTCAAGCAGTTTTGTAACAGAACAGCTCTGCGAAGCGTTTTGAGATTCTCAGTGACGTGATATGGTGCTATATCAAATGCAAGGATTATTATTATTATTATGCTCCAGTCACAAGCACACCCTTGCTTCACAATGCTGCGATAGAGCCCCAGCCTCGCAAGTCCTGAATCCATCACCGCTGGATTAATCTACAATTAATGATCAATCTCATTTAGTATTTAGCTCCCAATCTCGGTCGACAATGGTATTACCATCTCCCACGAAGATGAGGATTGCTGCCGTTGCCCAGTGTATATCATCTGTTTATCACCGGCCAATTTGTAACAATTGTCTTTTGTGTATATTCATTGCCATGTGTTTCCTTTGATTTTCCCCAGCTGAATACCGCATGTTGCA